TACAATTTAAAATAACTGTTTTCTGTTTGAATATATTTAAAAATGAAATTCATGTGATGTAAAGCTGAATTTTCAGCATCATTACTCCAGTCTTCAGTGTCACATAATCCTTCAGAAATCATTCTAATATGCCGTTTTCATGCTCAAGAAACATTTCTGATTATTAATGTTGAAAACCTGTTGAGCGGCTTAATTTTTGTGGAAACCGAGATACATTTTATTTTTCAGGACTCTTTAATTAATAATACAAATTCAAAAGAAAAGCTCAATTTATGATCAATTTAATGCAAACTTGCTGAATAAAAGCATTAATTTCTTTAAGAACCATAAAAATAAAAATCTTACGAACCCCCAAACTTTTGAACGGTAGTGTAAGTCAGTGTTTCCCAACCTTTTTTTAGTCGCGGCACCCTTTGGAAATTTTAACAAACTTGTGGCACCCTACAAAATTAATTTTGTCACAATATTTGAATTTCTAACTTCGATATGATAATTTGAAAAGTATAGATATTCGGTACAGCAGGGAAGAACTGCAGAATATAATGTCATACAGATATTTTTAATATTATTAAATTTTGTCCATCAATGGTGGCAATCAGTAGGGTAATTTCTAATGAAGAGACCAATTTATATGACAGATTTTAATGTAGGCTTTTATACATACGTAAACATTATTTAATTACCATTATAACTAAGCGACTGAGCGGAGCGCACACACATAGAGCGGGATAACACGCAGAGCGTCACACCACGTGAAAGTGAATCCTGAGCGGTGAACTAATTTTCGGCAGCCGAAATTTCGGTGCATCTCTAATAATTGGCGACATCAGAAATGGATATTATATAATAGATGCTTTTTTGAACATTTTAGCAATGTAAAAGTATTAAAAAATGATTTTTTTTACACTGCACCCCTGCTCTCGACAGACGGCACCCCGGTTGGGAAACACTGGTGTAAGTAACCAACAACAAATGGCCAATCATAATTCAGGAATAGTCAAACAGAAATAAATAGTTTTGACTGACATGGAAATGACCTCAGTCTGGATTCACTGTGTTTATACTCACCACAGAGCCAGAGCCCAACTGAGGGGGACAGACAGGAAGTACAATTACCAACTAAACTTCTACATTTACAGCTGATGCAACCCAACATATTACACTACTCAGAAATACAAAAATATCCCTGCTCACCTTGATGTCAGTTTTGGTGGCAGATTGTTTGATGAAGGACTTCATGATGGTGCTGCGGCCCAGAGAGCCAGGCGTCATCATCAGCATCTGGTTCTTCTGCACAGTGTGCACGAACGAGCGCATGTGTGGAGTGATACTCTACAGGGACACAACAAATGGACACATAATGGATTGTCTGGTCTGATCAAAAATTTGCTAATTCAATCCTCAAGAAGCTGGCCACAAATCATTAAAAAAAACCTTTTTACGAATGCAGAAAACCCACAGATAATCATCATGTGGACTTCTGCGGAAAGCCTTTCTTCTCAACAAGACTCAAAAGACTGTTGTGGCTTCATTTTGGTGGATGGGCAGCATTATTGTGGTCAGAGATGCTCATACCGTAAGGCACTTCTTTGAAGGAGATTGTTTCTTCTTGGGTGTGTTGATTTCCTGAGCTGCGTGACGCTTTGAGCCTAAGCGTGTAGGCCTGACAGAAAAGTACAAAGACTATTAGAAAACAAACGGCATAGATCCACTAACTATAATGAGGAAAACTAATTAATGGTGTGCTCACCGGCCATCTCCTTTGGATTTTGACCCTCCACTGTCATCTATAACAGGAAAATATATAAATAATTTCAATCTTACTTGTCAACCCAATTATACGTTCTGTATATAATATCAGCAGATCTGTTAGACATGCACCTGTTTCTGAAGTACGAGCCATGGATCGTGTGAAGCGATAGTTCTCAGTGGTGCTGGGAGATTCAGCAATCTCTTCTGGAACTTTGTATTCGTTTACCTCAGGTTCCTTTTCTTCAGTCTTCTCGGGTTCAGGTTCCTTTGAAATCACGCAGCCAGCAGTTATTTACAAATTGCACCATGCAATAAAATAGTTTCAAACATCATACCAGAAATAACCGTTTGCTCAAGGCCTGTTCACACTAAGAACTATAAAGTTAACTACAGTACTTTGCACAAGTCTTATGCCATTACTATATTCACAAAAAAAAAAAAAAAAGGTTTTAAGCCAGGGCTGCATTTCCCAAAAGCATCATAAGCCCAAGTAGATCGTAGATCCATTGCTACCAATGGTCTCTACAATCAACTTATCTCAAGATGCTTTTGAGAAATGCAGACCAGTTATTTCGGTCTTTTGCTGTAGTGTGTCAGTAGGAAATATCGGTTTACATTTCCAAACATTCCTTTTGCCATTAATTATAATAATCCAGTGAGATTTTTGTATGCACAAGTCTGACAACACACAGAGATCTGATCTCACCATCATCATGTCCATCTGGAATGACATGAAGAATCATGGGATCAGCATTTAAAGACATTCTAAACTCTATTGGGATTAGACAACGTGTCAGGACCTACTCATTGTCATAATCATACTTTAGATTTAATACGATCACAGTGAAGATATCTCAGATCATTATCTAGTCTCATGTATACTCCATATAGCTAAAGCTGCAAATTCAACTCCTTGTTACAAATATGGTAGAACCATCACTTCTACAACAAAAGTCTGCTTTGTAAATAACATTCCCGATTTGTCTCAATTCCTCAGCATATCCAATAGCTCCGAAAAACATGGTGTAACAGAAACTACTGACTCTCTTTCTAGCACTTTAGACACAGTCGCTCCTTTATGCTTAAAGAAGATTAAGGAAAACAGTCCGACACAGTTGTATAACAAGCACACTCGCGCCTTAAAGAGAGCAGCCCAGAAAATGGAGCACAGCTGGAAGAAAACCAAACTAGAGGCAGCCCTCTACGAACACCTTGGCAATTGAATTGCCATTGGCTATGATAAAGAAGTGGGTATACGCCGTATACCTGCGTATATCCTCCACTACACCACTGGTTGCACATCCATTCAGATGAACTGAAGAACAGCACAGATCGCTTGGCGGAGAGTCAGAGACGGCGAGTGAAAATATTTATGAGCTAAACTTATACTTAGCCTCCAACTCACACACTGGCGAGTAAAATCTGAGAATTTATTAGCAATTGGCTAATATTAGACATCATTTAGTCGCCCAGAGTGAAGATTTAGTCGCATATGCGAGTGATTTACTCGCAATGTAGAGGGTTGCTAGAGGTATTTCGTATTGCATGGAGGGAAAGTACTTCAACATACAGAAAAGCCTTAAAAACTGCTAGATCTGCTTACTTTCAGTTTCGTTTAAAAGAAAACAAACACAACCCCAGGTATTTATTCAGTACAGTGGCTAAATTAACGAAAAATAAAGCATCAACAGGCGCAGACATTTCCCAACAGCACAGCAGTAATGACTTTATGAACTTCTTTACTTCCAAGATCAATACTATTAGAGATAAAATTATAACCATGCAGCCGTCAGCTACAGTATTGCATCAGACAGTGCACTATAGATTCCCTGAGGAACAATTCCACTCATTCTCTGCTATAGGACAGGAAGAATTGTATAAACTTGTTAAATCATCTAAACCAACAACATGTATGTTAGATCCTATTCCATTCTAAGCTACTAAAAGAGGTGCTTCCAAAAGTCATAAGCCCCTTTCGCACCACATAGTTCTTGGAACTAAGTTATAGGAACTAGCCGGTCGGGTAGTTCCCCCAGGCCATTTTCCTGGTTGCATTCGCACCGCCAACAGGAACTCAGAAGTGACAGCAACGCCATTTAAGCGCAGCATTCAGCAACGTAAACAACAAAAGGATGGAGGCACCGTGATCGGAGCTGTGTTTTTGATTTATATACTGGGTTTCGTGATATGGAGATAGAATGTAGAAGTAGAAGTTATGCGATAGAAAGAGCAAATCAGAGGACTACTACGGCAACTTGCATTTCTATGATCGAGTCTGAGAAAAGAGCATAAATGTTTAGAAGTGCTTGGACTTCGGCGTCGGTCCACTTATCGCCGTTTTCCTTCTTGTGGCCTACTGTAAACTGCTCCGTGAATAATAAACTGTTGTGTGTTTATCCGGATTTCTAAAAATGGCGGGTGCTGGCGTTTTCCCACATGCGTTCAGCCAATCAGCGTACACTTACATCACTGGTAGTTCCTATAGCACGGGTTTAGACCCTACTCTGAAGTAGGAGCTAATTTAGTTCCCGAAAAAGGAGTTCCTAGAACTAAAATCATTCCTAGTTCCTGCAGTGCGAACGCGCGAGCATCTGGGTACTTCCGCCAATAGCTCTAGGAACTATAAAAAGGTTCCTCTGGCGTGAAAGGGGCTATAGATCCTCTTCTGAATATCATTAATTCATCATTGTCATTAGGATATGTCCCAAAAACTTTCAAACTGGCTGTTATTAAGCCTCTCATTAAAAAACAACAACTTGATCCTGGAGAATTAGTTAATTACAGACCGATCTCAAATATCAAAGCTCAGTACTAGGACCGCTGCTTTTCACGCTTTACTGTTATGCTGATGATACTCAGCTATACATTTCTTCGTGGCCCGATGAAACATAATTCGCAAAACTAACAATGCATAGCTGATAGAAAAAACTGAAAACGGGATGACTAGTAATTTCCTACTGCTAAATTCTGAAAAAACAGAGGTTTTAATTATCAGACCAAAATCCTCTGCATTTAATAATCTAGAACACTATCTAACACTTGATAGCTACTCTGTCAAGTCTTCGTCATCAGTTAGGAACCTAGGTGTGCTATTTGATAGCAACCTTTCCTTTGAAAGTCATGTTTCTAGCATTTGTAAAACCACATTTTTCCATCTTAAAAATATATCTAAATTACTACCTATGCTCTCAATGTCAAATGCAGAGCCCTAGAGACAGATCCTCGGCAATGACTTCGTCGGCCTTAGGAACAAGACCACAAGAACCAGAAGAGTCCTCTGCTCAATCGGTCTTGTGTTGCAGCCTGGAATTAAACCACATAGAAGAACTGGCCCCCTGACTGAGCCTGGTTTCTCCCAAGGTTTTTTCCCCATTTCTGTCACCGATGGAGTTTTGGTTCCTTGCCACTGTCGCCTTTGGTTTGCTTAGTTGGGGACACAATTTCTGAAGAGAACTGAACTGCGCTGGACGATGACATCACTTAATCAACAATGAACTGACTTTAATTGATAAACTGACAGTTTTCTATTGTCCTCTTGCATTATCAGATTGCCAATTGTCCGGTTGGATGACGACGATGGCGCGCCTGATGCGCAATCCCGAGCATAATTCAAATAGGATGACAACGACGGTGAGCAAGATAACAACAAACGCGAGATCCTTGTGCATACAAAAATCTCACTGGATTATTACAATTAATGGCAGTCCTCTGCTCAATCGGTCTTGTGTTGCAGCCTGGAATTAAACCACATAGAAGAACTGGCCCCCTGACTGAGCCTGGTTTCTCCCAAGGTTTTTTCCCCATTTCTGTCACCGATGGAGTTTTGGTTCCTTGCCACTGTCGCCTTTGGTTTGCTTAGTTGGGGACACAATTTCTGAAGAGAACTGAACTGCGCTGGACGATGACATCACTTAATCAACAATGAACTGACTTTAATTGATAAACTGACAGTTTTCTATTGTCCTCTTGCATTATCAGATTGCCAATTGTCCGGTTGGATGACGACGATGGCGCGCCTGATGCGCAATCCCGAGCATAATTCAAATAGGATGACAACGACGGTGAGCAAGATAACAACAAACGCGAGATCCTTGTGCATACAAAAATCTCACTGGATTATTACAATTAATGGCAAAAGTAATGTTTGGAAATGTAAACTGATATTTCCTATTGACACACTACAGCAAAAGATAGAAATAACTGGCTTAAAACCATTTTTTGTTGTTGAAAACACTTTTGCACAGTACTGTATATGAGGATATTTATTAGAAGAGCGCTGCAGTTTTGTCGTCTGCTGCTTTAAATGCTCAAGCTCTTTGAAGTTGAGTGAATTTTGATTGCTGTCGATGTCTGTATCGTTCATCAGCTGCAAAAAGTTGTTTGAAAATGATCAATTATACTGTTCCTCTGTAACATCATTGTTATAGCTGTGGTGCTATTTTCTTAAATTTAGGACAATTTAGAAAACTTTGTCTTTGTAGTTATTGTCCTTGGTGTGAATGGGCCTTAAATCTGGCTCTTGTGTCTCTCTTATTAGCAAAGGTAAATTAAAACCACAGCAGAAAGTTCTTCTCACCTCAGTTTGGACGATTTCTGGTTCAGGTTTGGTTTCAGTGGCTGGTTCGGTCACCATTTGTGGTGCATCAATCCTAAAACAGAACCGTGAAACAGTGTTAAAATATCATAACTGATAACTGAAAGGTAGTGGGTTTGAATCCCAGAAGAAACAATTCAACAACTGAAACAGAAAGCAAAAGCACTCACTGTTCTTCTTTGTTCTCCATTTCCTCAGTTCCATCATCCATACAAATGTCCTCTGGAAAGAGCAATGAGGACATAAATGTCATCATAAAGTTAACAAAGAAACTTATTCACTTTAAACAGCACAAATGATAAAGAGATAAATCCTATTTAAAGGGATACTCCACCCCAAAATGAAAACTGCCATTAATCACTTACCCCCATGTCGTTCCAAACCCGTAAAAGCTTAATTCGTCTTCGGAACACAATTTAAGATATTTTGGATGAAAACTTGGAAAACGCGCTACGGTGATGCGGAGAGACACGGAGGAGACGAATTGTTGAATAAAGTTGTTATTTTTGTTTTCTTAACGTACAAAAAGTACTCTCGTCGCTTCATAACGTTACGGTTGAACCACTGATGGTAGATGGACTATTCTGACGATGTCTTTCATACTTTTCTGGACCTTGACAGTGTTATTTACTTGGCAGTCAATGGGCCAGTCACAAGCCTCCCGGTTTTCATCCAAAATATCTTAAATTGTGTTCCGAAGACGAACGAAGCTTTTACGGGTTTGGAACGACATGGGGGTAAGTGATTAATGACAATTTTCATTTTGGGGTGAAGTATCCCTTTAAGGTGTTCAAACTGGCCTCAAGCTATTAATTTACAATCAGAGTTGGTGACTCGAATTGATACGAGTTTAGCTTAGTCTCACCGCTGACGGAGCTGCTGCAGGTCGAGTTTCCCAGTCTGGCTTTCTTCTTCAGGAAAGAGCGTCGGGATGCCCTGCGAACAGCTTCCTGGGTCATGCTATGCCTGAGGCCCACCAGAGAACGGCGCACCACCAGCGAGCGCCGAACTGACGTCCGAGACGAGCCTTGAGGTGTTGTCTGCAACCCAGATGCAGCGATGGGGATTTTATTAGCAGATCGTCCCGGAGACACACCAGCGTTCAGCAGTGAATCTGCACACAGACTCTCCGAGGAGGGAATCCTCACCATGGCTTCAGACACCAGGACCTGATGCTGATTGGAGCCTGAATCCTGCACCTCAACGGCTTCTTTCACTTCTGGAATGTTCCCTGCCACTTCTTCCACCTCCTTGGCTTTGGCGCCGCCTTTGTTTCGGGTGCTGCGTTTGACAGGTTCGGTTTCAGCCGGGGCGGTGGTTTTGTTGCGGCGTGTGCGACGAGCAGGTTCCTCCATCAGGCTCTTAGAGCTGTCGTTCGGCACGTGTGGCGTAACAAGTTCAGAGATGCTGTTCAGGGTCATTTGGACCGAAGAACGACGCAGGTTGCTGCGTTTCCCCTTGGAGAAACTACAGAGAGACAAAGACATCATAAACTTTATCACTATAGAAAAAATATGCCAATTCTAATGTATATTAAAGGAAAGTTAAACAGAATAATGTTTTGATAGTGCTGGAGTTTTACGAGCTTTACAAAGACTGATATCAAAACCAGAAAAACATTTAATATTAAGATTGTTTTTGTTTTATTTCATTTATGCATTTTGAAGATGCCTTTATTCAAATGACTTGCATTACATTCAAAGTAAACATTTGATGCATTTCCTATGAATCAAACCCATGACCTTGGCGTTGCTGGCGTCTCGCTTTACTGTTTGAACTACAGGAACGTTGGGCTGCACAATTAATCCAAATAAAATCGAACTTGTGATATTTTTATCAAATCGCAAAGGCTGCTAAATATATTAGAGAAGCTTTAAGGTCACAAGCAGTTTTCTGTCAAAAATGTTTGATGTGTTCACATTTGAACTAAATTAAGACAGCCAAAAATAGTAGCATTGTAATCTTACATTTGTACCATAAATAAAGAAAAAATATAAAAACTCAATTTTCATATTTTACAGTGAAATTACAATCATAATATTGTTGTTTAATATTTTTATTTAGTAATAAAAAAAAGTATTTTTATTTTACAGCCATACAGATATATAAAATTGCAAATTGTGCAGCACTACAAACAGGCAAAGCAAACCTAGAGTGTTTTTTTTTTTAAATCACAATTTATCAGGAAATTTATTTTACAAAATGTATATAATAATAGTAATAATGATAATAATGTAGTATACATCTGGAACATAAGACTTATGTACAGATTTGTGCATTATGTACTGTATATATACAACCGTATAAATAAAATGTATATGTATTAACATAATATCTCATTTTTAGATTCATTATGGTGCAGCCCTACAGGAATGCACAATTACAAATTAATATTAATTAAATGAATATTCTATTAAAGGGGTCATATGATGCTTTTTTAAAGATCATTATTTTGTGTATTTGGTGTAACAGAATATGTTGACATGCTTTAATGTTCAAAAAACACATTATTTTTCAAATACTGTACATTATTGTAGGTCCTCTATGCCCCGCCTCTCTCAAACGCTTCGTTTTCTACAAAGCCCCCTCCTTTGACAAGCGCAGTCCGCTCTGATTGGCCAGCTGACCCAGTGCACTGTGATTGGCCGAACACCACAAGCACACGTCGTAAATGTAACGCCCCTTACCATAATCGCGACCTTCATCTTTCAAAATAAATGTAAAGACAGAGCAATGTCTTTACTCTGGGGAACAGAGTCGCGTGACAGACACAGTGAGGAAGCTGGTATGTGTTTGCAGTACACAAGCCACGGTTAAGACAGCTGACTCCACTGTGATGCGACCCTGTCTCTCTCTCTCTCTCTCACACACACACACACACACACACACACACAAAAC